ATATAGGTACCTGGGGGTTAAGACAGCTGCTACGGGCTGCTTCCTGGGGATGTGTAACAAAAAGAGGCTTAGTCGAGGACCGGGCCGCGGGGGCGCTAAGCCCCGAAATCATCTCAAGATAACCTGCACTGCGTCATTCATCCCATATGAATTCATGCACTCCCTCAAACAATAATTGTGTCCATATAACTCTGTATTACGTCCTGAGGCCCACCAATAAGACCATCCATCAATGGGTCCACATATTAGGTAGGTACTCCTGCAGCCTCTTCAATATTTAGGCAGACGAGGAGTCACAATAACGTGGCTAAAGTAAGTTGACCAGACCACACACTAGAAGGTGAAGGGACGACGACGTTTCGGTCCGTCCTGGACCATTCTCAAGTCGACGCAATATTACTCTTCAATATTACGGCTGCTTCGAACAACAACAAAACACGTCCGCCACGTACCACTGCTACTTGAAGTTGCACCATATACGTAAAGTTCCTCAACACAGGCTTCACCATACACTTGAAGATCCACCATATAAAGTTCTATTACTCTACTTCCTAAACACAGTTCCCCATACACAAAGTTCACCAGACGCAAAAGGGTGTCGTGACGATACTTGCCCAACGACGCACAAATATGGCGCCCTGCCCGGTCGTCCACACATTTATCTTGGAGGTGCCACTATCAGCTCCTACCCGTCATGAGTGAGAGAAGTCAGGCAACAGGTGCCATACAGGGACACCTGCCCAATTTATCCACTGCGACCACCCAATAGGCTTCAGGCCGCCCCTATATCGTTACCACGATAACTGAACACGTTACACGTCGTCCTCTAACAGCTTCCTCACACGTTGGTCACGTCGCTTATCACCAATTCTTCACCATGAGCTACAAACGTCCTTCTTCATTACGAGGCCACGACGTACGTCCGTCTCCGTCGACTCGCAAAACTCAAGTGAGGTCTTAAGACCTCCACCCACGTCGCGTGTCGTACCATACTGTCGACATCTTATCTTACCTCGTTTCCTTAAGATGCTCGCCTTCTGAGTCACAATCACTGACCTTTGCTTGGTTTAATCCATACACCTGACTCCTATATCTGGTCAGGTGGGTAATGACTCTCACAAAGGCAGATCTACCTCATTAGGCTACCTGGAGGCTCATACTCCCCCCGTCACTCTGGCTCACAGTACACTTGTCCTGAGTTCGATTTTTGAGCAGAATGAGACATCCCTACACCTGATGCCTCTGTTCACCAAGCGGTAAATAGGCACCCGGGAGTTAGGCAGCTATTGTGGGTTGCATCCTGCGGAGGGTCACAGTCTAGGGCAAGGTTGACTTGGATAATAATCTGAGGGTTGGATAATGATCTAAGATTGACTTGGATAATAATCTTACCTCTTACATATTACGTATGCAAGATGGACGACATAAGAACGCTCGTGTGGGCAGAGAAGGTAGACTGGGTACACCGGGTTACTGTAGACTCTTGAGATCTTCTAGCTATAAAGTTATGGGCTACACCCACAGTTTACACCCAGACACGCTGCACTGTGCAGGAAATAAAGCCTGAGGACTCTGCAGAAACTATATGGGGACAAGGGGCTGAAGGGAGAGAGAGAGAGAGCGTCTAACTGTAGTAGAGAGAGAGTTAAAGATTTTTTGTGGGTTCTCTGGCGCAGTGGATTACATCTTCAACTCTCAGTCGAGGATCGTAGGTGAATCGACCCCCCCCCCCACGTGTCGGGACAGAGGCTCCCCGACCCTGGGGAAGCGGGATGGAGTCTCAACAGGGTGGAAGCCAGAAACTATGAGTGCCTCTAGAAACAATAACTGGCGTATTCTTCTGGACTTCAGCTACTGAGGAACTGACTGGACCTCATGAAGAAGAAACCCAGTAACAGGAGGAGGTTGTGGAGGTGGTCGAAGGCTGCCTCTTAACTCAAATTGTAAATAGGCTCACCAGGGACAGACAATTTCTGAACAAGGTGCTAGCCCACAAGGGAAGGTTGATCAACGATGAGGAAATTGGGAACGAGTTGCGAAATAGTGACCAATGGGAGATAAGATTTGGGTCCGCAAGGATGACTTGTGCAAGAAATAATAACAATATCAGGCTTCAGGGTCTTCAGTATGTAAACTATGACCACTCGAGACTATCTTACACGAGTAGAGTTTGGCAACCTGGTCAGAGATCAGGACCTCGCCTGACCTCGTCTGAAAAAAACCGGACCATGGCTGGTATGACGGTGGACGTAGAATACACTATCTTCACTATTTCTGGTGCCTAAGGAGGTTTAAGCGACGTGCATACCGGCCTCCTTCCATGAGGCCGGTATCCACATCTGTACATAAAACGCTACAATTTCTAACTTCTATTTCATACATTAAAACTAGTCACTCACACTTGGATAAGATCGGCAGCGATGGTGTCCGTGTGGCGGAGCAGCGGTGCTCGTGTCGTCGAGCAGTAGGGGCGGCGCCCCTGAAGACTGCGGCGTAATCACAAGGAAAGGAACAGGTCTGCCCCAGAGAAATACTGCTTGACATAAACTTTGCCTCCTACGCCCTTAAGTCCCCTATCATTTGTTCTTCCACGGGATTGATAATGGTATGTCAGTATGTATGGATATTATAGCATGTGAAAGCTTATTGAGGAGAGACTCCAACACGAAAGAGAGAGAGAGAGAGAGAGAGAGAGAGAGAGGAGAGAGAGAGAGAGAGAGAGAGAGAGAGAGAGAGAGAGAGAGAGAGAGAGAGAGAGAGAGAGAGAGAGAGAGAGAGAGAGAGACAGAGAGAGAGAGAGAGAGACAGAGACACAGAGAGAGAGACAGAGAGACAGACAGACACAGAGACAGAGAGAGAGAGACAGAGAGAGACAGACACCCCCCCCTCAACATGGATGATGTAGCAGCCGTCCAGGTGAGTGCCCAACTGGAGGTTCCCGCCTCCCCGGTGTACACTAGTGGCACCCGTCCTCTGCTGCCTCTCTCACGTGTAAGCTGCCGCCTCACCCACCTCCGGTGTTGAGGGGGCCCCCGGGGAGCTGGGTGTTGAGGGGGCCCCCGGGGAGCTGGGTGTTGAGGGGGCCCCCGGGGAGCTGGGTGTTGAGGGCCCCCCTGGAAGGCCTGCTGAAGGAGACCTCCAGAGCCCGCGTGGGCTCGGCGTGACCTCCCGCCACGTCAGTTGGGGCCGTATTTGGCCACGGGCGCCTGGCCGATACCAAAAACTTACCGGTTGGCTAATGCCGAGAAACTGCATCGAAATGGCAGTGCGCAGAGGTGGAAGGGAGAGAAAATGAGGCAGGTGTTGCCGAGGACGTGGGCGAGGCCCGAGCGGCAGCGGGAAGAAACAGCTGTGGTGGAAATGTGGGCCTGCGGGTCGCTCCAATCAACAGCCTTGTGGATCAAGCTCTCTGAAATCAGGTCTGGCCTCGGGCCGGGCTTGGAGTAGAACAACTCCCAGAACCCAAAGGAATATGTTAAAAACTACGCGTGTTTGGATGGATAGGCTCTATCCATCTATGCAATACGACCATTACTCTCTCTAGTTATTGAACGCAAATTTTTTAGTTTTGAATGGTCTCTGGAAGTTATTATGAACATTTAGAGGCCTTGGATGTCAAGGAGCTTGCCTGTTGTGCCCCTGGTCCAGGGCGGAGGCTTCGTAAACACGGTGTAGGATATACTAAACATGCACTCATTGGGGTGTGTTCAGGTGTAGCCACACCCAGCACAGTCCCAGACGTGTACAGGTGTAGCCACACCCAGCACGGTCCCAGATGTGTTCAGGTGTAGCCACACCCAGCACAGTCCCAGATGTGTTCAGGTGTAGCCACACCCAGCACGGTCCCAGATGTGTTCAGGTGTAGCCACACCCAGCACAGTCCCAGACGTGTTCAGGTGTAGCCACACCCAGCACAGTCCCAGACGTGTACAGGTGTAGCCACACCCAGCACAGTCCCAGACGTGTACAGGTGTAGCCACACCCAGCACAGTCCCAGACGTGTACAGGTGTAGCCACACCCAGCACGGTCTCAGGTCAGTCCTAACCACCCCTTGAAGATACAAAAGATTGAAAACATATGTTCCAATATACAAATATGTCTCCCAATTTTACCAACATTAAAAAATGTCATGGGAAGAACATGAGCACACAGCTACAACACTCGCGCTGCCCTCAGGTGTCTGTTTATTTACACTTAGGAAGCCCACGAGGTCCGGATACGTAACATCAACACACATATGTTTAACACCTATAGAGTTGCTTTCTTGTGAAACCACCGTGTCTGAGGGGCGCCACCCTGAGAGACTTGTGATGCTGGTCTGTTCTAACTCTGTCATTCAAAGGTGATGTTTACAAACAAGCGGAGGGCCCTATATTGAACCCGTTGGATTTTCAGTCGGTTGGTTTTCGTGGTTAGGTCAGTGGGAATATGGGGATTCTAGCGTTAGTGTAATGATCTTTTTATGTCGGTGGAGCTTGGTCAGGGCTTGTCTGAATTTTAGTATTGCCAGGGAGCTTTTGGCTATTGCTGATTACTCATTGACGAACTTGGAGTCGAGTAGTCTGTTGAACAGGGCCGGATTAACTGTCTGTTGAACAGGGCCGGATTAACTGTCTGTTGAACAGGGCCGGATTAACCTTACAGCAAAAGTAACACTTGCTACGGGCTCCTTATTTTCGAGGATCACGCACTATATACTCGTAGTTGCACCGTGTGATAACTGACAATTCTTGGGGTTCTTGTTATCCAAATGTAGAAAATGCCTCGCGTACCTACTCCTCAACTCATGGTTACCAAGTGCAGTGGAGAACGCTCTTTTTCAAAACTGAAAATGATTAATAATTAACTCTGGAGCATCATGGGTCAAAATAGATTGAACAATCTCACTCCAATCACCATTGAAAAAGACATTTCATACTGCGTGAAAAAGACATTTCCAGTATCAGCAACAAATTGCTCATGTTAAATCTAGACAATTTTAATTGCAATTTTGTTACTTTTGGCAACTTAGAAAATACAGCTACATGTAACTCTATTACTGAGGTGCCATGTAACAAACTAGGCTGTTGTAAGAATTATTCCAGAAGGTTCCAGAAGTTTCGGGTAGGGACCTGACCTCTCAACGCACATTCCCCTGGGGATTAGCAGGTCTGAGTCACAAATGGCGGGCGTCTCTGTTCATAGTTGCGTATATTGAATCATCCTATAGCATACAGTAATTTAGAGAAATTAGCCTTTATTCATTTTGTATTAAAATGGTATTGTATAATATTCCTGGTTACAATATCAAGAGTATTCTAATTATTGAGTTAAGTCACCATCAGTGACGTCACGAATCAGATCTAAGTTGTAAGGCGGAGTGACCGGCGGTCATAGGTCATCAGGGTTGACATGTCTACTATTTCTCAAAGTTCAATTAACCATTTTGGGGATCGGGAACAGCTCTGCCATTAGATGCTTGTGTAATTTAATTTCAGTAAAATAATTCAACCAGTCTGGATCAATTAAGTACAACAGAGGTTAATTGTTATAACTTAAACCTGGCTAAGTAACTTGGTAAAACTTAGACGATGCGGAACAATACAATGCTCTAGTCTGGGCTAGACCAGACGAGGATAGATCAGTGTGGACTCCAGATAAACTGGGGGAGGTCAACCCATCTTACCTCTCCCCCAAGACCAGCCCAACATCTTTAGCTGGTAAAACGTAGAGGTATAGTTGCTATTTGTTATTTATAGGGATAGTCCTCTCATTTGCCGTTCAGGTCAAGTAGGGAGTGTTAAAGTGACAGGGAGTGAACATATTTAGATTGTGTTTTAGTTTTTCTTTTAATAAATTAATTAGTTAATATTTTGCATTTTTATTGTTTCCATTTGGTTATGTTTACTTGTCCTGGTCACGTGGTCCACACGAGGCAGAGTTGAATTGGGCGCCGATTCTAACATCGAATCGGAATTCATCATTACCGTGTAATTTATTCCACACTCAAGGTCATCGGTTATAGTGGGGATCAAGCCCCAAGGTTGATTAATTCGCATGATCGATCCAGACCTCGATCATTGCTGTGTTACTGGTCTGGTGGTGGCGGCGGAGGCGACTCTAGGGTTTTGCTCAAAGCCTAGGTCACGTCATACTGGTTGTAGAATCCTAAGACGATTGACCGACTTAGGATTCTACAACCAGTATGACGTGACCTAGGCTTTGAGCAAAACCCTAGAGTCGCCTCCGCCGCCACCACCAGACCAGTAACCAACCCGTTCTCGTAAATTTAATAAGTCAATATTGACTTATTAAATATGTGCATAGGTGACATACTTAACATAATAGATACCCTTAAAAAGATTCATAGAAAACACCGACCTTACCTAACCTTGTTAGTATCTTAAGATAAGCATCTTATTGCTTCGTAATTACAATTATTACCTACCCTATAATAGGTATAGGTTAAGTAATAATTGTAATTACGAAGCAATAAGATGCTTATCTTAAGATACTAACAAGGTTAGGTAAGGTCGGTGTTTTCTATGAATCTTTTTAGGGGTATCTATTATGTTTAGTATATCACCTATGCACATAGTTAATAAGTCAATATTGACTTTACGAATTTGCGAGAACGGGTTGCAGTAACACAGCAATGATCGAGGTCTGGATCGATCATGCGAATTAATCAACCTTGGGGCTTGATCCCCACTATAACCGATGACCTCGAGTGTGGAATAAATTACATGGTAATGATGAATTCCGATTCGATGTTAGAATCGGCGCCCAATTCAACTCTGCCTCGTGTGGACCACGTGACCAGGACAAGTAAACATAACCAAATGGAAACAATAAAAATGCAAAATATTAACTAATTAATTTATTAAAAGAAAAACTAAAACAAAATCTAAATATGTTCACTCCCTGTCACTTTAACACTCCCTACTTGACCTGAACGGCAAATGAGAAGACTATCCCTATAAATAACAAATAGCAACTATACCTCTACGTTTTACCAGCTAAAGATGTTGGGCTGGTCTTGGGGGAGAGGTAAGATGGGTTGACCTCCCCCAGTTTATCTGGAGTCCACACTGATCTCTTCCTCGTCTGGTCTAGCCCAGACTAGAGCATTGTATTGTTCCGCATAGTCTAAGTTTTACCAAGTTACTTAGCCAGGTTTAAGTTATAACAATTAACCTCTGTTGTACTTAATTGATCCAGACTGGTTGAATTATTTTACTGAAATTAAATTACACAAGCATCTAACGGCAGAGCTGTTCCCGATCCCCAAAATGGTTAATTGAACTTTGAGAAAATAGTGGACATGTCAACCCTGATGACCTATGACCGCCGGTCACTCCGCCTTACAACTTAGATCTGATTCGTGACGTCACTGATGGTGACTTAACTCAATAATTAGAATACTCTTGATACTATAACCAGGGATATTATACAATACAATTTTAATACAAAATGAATAAAGGCTAATTTCTCTAAATTACTGAATACTATAGGATGATTCAATATACGCAACTATGAACAGAGACGCCCGCCATTTGTGACTCAGACCTGCTAATCCCCAGGGGAATGTGCGTTGAGAGGTCAGGTCCCTACCCGAAACTTCTGGAACCTTCTGGAATAATTCTTACAACAGCCTAGTTTGTTACATCCAGACATATTTCTCACTATCTACCTGTATAGCAAATGAAAAAATAATTACTTTTATATGCAAGTAAATGATTTATATTTTAATATTTGTGTCTTTTTTTAATTTAGTGTCCGTTACAACATGTACTACAGGCCCCGCACTAGCTTAATCCGGCGCTGCTGGTCTTATCGTAGCCTAGGTCCGAGCTGGAAATCTTGACGGCCATAGAATTGGATTTTTGGATTTCCGGGAGTTGGATTTTGACTTCAAGGTAATTTTCTTCATCAATCTTGTGTACTGGAATGTTATTAATTTGATGGGTTGCTGTGTCCCAAAAATGCTGAAGTCAAGGTACACAACATCACAAACCATTCAGCTGTCGACTGCCTCAACTATGCTGGAATATAATGATAACATATTGAACAAATCCATGGGGGTCTCCTCTGATCTTAACCCCACCTGCCCTTTCTAGTGAGATTTTATTTCTTCTACCACGGACGTGGCCACACATTCACAAATGCTAACCAGCATATATACATTTTCTTCTGTCCTCCATGGGCAGGGGAAAGAGATCTGTTAAACATATTGCTCAGTGATTTATTGAACAACCACAGAAGGTAATTGCAGTGCTTATAAAATGATAATATAACCTACATACGTCTGCCTTAATTAAAAAGTCTTCGATGTGCCTTTTTACACGTCATTAATGTACGTTTACGAAGGTGAAATGCAATTCTGAGCAGCTTCCACATCCATTGTATTGAGAATGGTAGACAGCCGATTGTTCTTATTTAAATCTTGTCATGGTTGGCTGTGATTCTCTATTTTCTTTCCCGTGTCGCAGTTAAGAGTTTGTTTAGAGTTTCGCAGCAGGATGGAGTGCTCTAGCAGTGTACCCTTGTACTGAGGGTATTAGTGGTCCAGTAGTGTACCCTTGTACTGAGGGTATTAGTGGTCCAGTAGTGTACCCTTGTACTGAGGGTATTAGTGGCCCAGTAGTGTGCCCTTGTACTGAGGGTATTAGTGGCCCAGTAGTGTGCCCTTGTACTGAGGGTATTAGTGGTCCAGTAGTGTACCCTTGTACTGAGGGTATTAGTGGTCCAGTAGTGTGCCCTTGTACTGAGGGTATTAGTGGTCCAGTAGTGTGCCCTTGTACTGAGGGTATTAGTGGTCCAGTAGTGTGCCCTTGTACTGAGGGTATTAGTGGTCCAGTAGTGTACCCTTGTACTGAGGGTATTAGTGGCCCAGTAGTGTACCCTTGTACTGAGGGTATTAGTGGTCCAGCAGTGTACCCTTGTACTGGGGGTATTAGTGGTCCAGTAGTGTGCCCTTGTACTGAGGGTATTAGTGGTCCAGCAGTGTACCCTTGTACTGAGGGTATTAGTGGCCCAGTAGTGTACCCTTGTACTGAGGGTATTAGTGGTCCAGCAGTGTACCCTTGTACTGGGGGTATTAGTGGTCCAGTAGTGTGCCCTTGTACTGGGGGTATTAGTGGTCCAGTAGTGTGCCCTTGTACTGAGGGTATTAGTGGTCCAGCAGTGTACCCTTGTACTGAGGGTATTAGTGGCCCAGTAGTGTACCCTTGTACTGAGGGTATTAGTGGTCCAGCAGTGTACCCTTGTACTGGGGGTATTAGTGGTCCAGTAGTGTACCCTTGTACTGAGGGTATTAGTGGCCCAGTAGTGTACCCTTGTACTGAGGGTATTAGTGGTCCAGTAGTGTACCCTTGTACTGAGGGTATTAGTGGTCCAGCAGTGTACCCTTGTACTGGGGGTATTAGTGGTCCAGTAGTGTACCCTTGTACTGAGGGTATTAGTGGTCCAGTAGTGTACCCTTGTACTGAGGGTATTAGTGGTCCAGCAGTGTACCCTTGTACTGGGGGTATTAGTGGTCCAGTAGTGTACCCTTGTACTGAGGGTATTAGTGGCCCAGTAGTGTACCCTTGTACTGAGGGTATTAGTGGTCCAGCAGTGTACCCTTGTACTGGGGGTATTAGTGGTCCAGTAGTGTACCCTTGTACTGAGGGTATTAGTGGCCCAGTAGTGTACCCTTGTACTGAGGGTATTAGTGGTCCAGCAGTGTACCCTTGTACTGGGGGTATTAGTGGTCCAGTAGTGTACCCTTGTACTGAGGGTATTAGTGGCCCAGTAGTGTACCCTTGTACTGAGGGTATTAGTGGTCCAGCAGTGTACCCTTGTACTGAGGGTATTAGTGGTCCAGTAGTGTACCCTTGTACTGAGGGTATTAGTGGCCCAGTAGTGTGCCCTTGTACTGAGGGTATTAGTGGCCCAGTAGTGTGCCCTTGTACTGAGGGTATTAGTGGCATAGCAGCGTACCCTCGACACACTTGCAGATACAAGAACATTGATTGATTATTATTGGTAATTAAAACCTGCCTGATGATTGATGTCAGTAGTTCCTAACCGGGGGTCCGTGGGCCCTATGGGGTCCATGAGGCCAAAAGGGGCCCATTGACCGCAAGGAGCCCATGAAAGAATTTCAGGGGGTCCATTGGACTAATACTCTGTATTGTATTGTCCTCTATCAAAATAAGAACCACTTATGAGTGCTGAACTGACTGTATCTCCTTGTTAACTTGCAATTTTAAACGAGAATAATACAGGGCTTGTGACGTATGAATGTATTTGTCGTACCAACGATACATTTTGTTAGCAAGATTATTTTTGTTTGTACCAGGGACCACAGGCAAAGGCGCCGCGGTTGTGACGGGAAGTGTCTCAAAAGATTTGACTTTACTAAATTCTTTCATTTAAGATTTCACTAATCTATAACACTATGACATTTCACATAAGCGTTTCATTAACACACATTCCATTAAGTCTAAAGAAAATAGATCAAAATTTTTGAGGTTTAAAATATTATGATTAGTTTTTTTTTGTTATTTTGGCATGATAAGCGCTTACAGTTTCTGCTAATTCTGAATTCTTGTATTTTAATGAATCATATAGTATTGTGAGATCTTTGTGGGTGTTGATGTTGGCAGACACAATGAACCCTTTTCTTTGATGAAGATCCTGACCCATGTTGGGCATGTATTCTTTGATGAAGATCCTGACCCATGTTGGGCATGTATTCTTTGATGAAGATCCTGACCCATGTTGGGCATGTATTCTTTGATGAAGATCCTGACCCATGTTGGGCATGTATTCTTTGATGAAGATCCTGACCCATGTTGGGCATGTATTCTTTGATGAAGATCCTGACCCATGTTGGGCATGTATTCTTTGATGAAGATCCTGACCCATGTTGGGCATATATCCAACAACAATTACTGGTAAAACTAGATGAAGCAAACCCCAAGCATCTAGCCTCCAGCCTCGTACAGACAGACATACATTTCCCATTTTTTGGTACAGATCTACATTGTTTGGTCCAATTCAATGAAGCCTTATTTATTTAATAGGACTATATGTTTCTCTGCAGTCATCTTGAGATTGTTATTGTTGGCACCGGAGGCAGCTACTGTGCACCCCCACACTCATCCTGCGACTGGTAACACACAGGATTACTAAGGTCATCTGGAAATGTATAACATACAGTGTCCCGAACCGTCTGATCAGTTAGGCTACTATAGTATGCAGCTGGCACGCCAACACCCATCACGTCCTGGCTAATGAGGCTCCTATTGCAGGATGTTGTTCCGTTAACGTCTCGCATACATACTAGTAGAATGTTGAAGAGTCGTGGAGCATATTTATTAATGTGTCTAATTTTACCTTGGGCAGCCTGGCATGGCACTGTATCTTCAGCCTCGCACTGTCTCTTTCATCCCCGTGAGCCCCATAATCTGGTGTGCGGGGTACCAGCACCAAGCCTTCCATTCTTCATGTAGAGATTAAAGATCTCTCGTCTTTGTTCAAGAGAGATCACTTGAAGGGCTTTGAGGCGCTCACAGTAATTTAGTTAATTTGTTGATTGTATGCCAACAGCATAATATTTATGTATTTTATGGTTCAGCTATTGCAGCTGCTATTGAAAGATAAGACAAGCAGAGAACCGAGTACAGCATAGCTGACAGTCCCTGGAGGCGCAGGTGGGAACGCGCCTAGCCTCGCGAAAGATTTGGGCCAGGATCGTATCCTACCTGGTTGATGGGGTTCTGGGAGTTCTTCTACTCCCCAAGCCCGGCCCGAGGCCAGGCTTGACTTGTGAGAGTTTGGTCCACCAGGCTGTTGCTTGGAGCGGCCCGCAGGCCCACATACCCACCACAGCCCAGTTGGTCCGGCATTCCTTGAAGGAAACAATCTAGTTTCCTCTTGAAGATGTCCACGGTTGTTCCGGCAATATTTCTGATGCTCGCTGGTAGGACGTTGAACAACCGCGGACCTCTGATGTTTTTACAGTGTTCTCTGATTGTGCCTATGGCACCTCTGCTCTTCACTGGTTCTATTCTGCATTTTCTTCTATGTCGTTCACTCCAGTACGTTGTTATTTTACTGTGCAGATTTGAGACCTGTCCCTCCAGTATTTTCCATGTGTATATTATTTGGTATCTCTCTCGTCTCCTTTCTAGTAAGTACATTTGGAGAGCTTTGAGACGATCCCAATAATTTAGGTGCTTTATCTCGTCTATGCGTGCCGTATATGTTCTCTGTATTCCCTCAATTTCAGCAATCTCTCCTGCTCTGAAAGGGGAAGTGAGTACTGAGCAGCACTCAAGACGGGACAACACAAGTGATTTGAAGAGTACAACCATTGTGATGGGATCTCTGGACTTGAAGGTTCTCGTAATTCATCCTATCATTTTTCTGGCTGACGCAATACTTGCTTGGTTATGCTCCCTAAACGTTAGGTCGTCGGACATCATTATTCCCAAATCCTCGACATGCTGTTTTCCTACTATAGGCAGATTCGATTGTGTTTTGTATCCTGTATTATGTTTAAGATCCTCATTTTTGCCGTATCTGAGTACCTGGAATTTATCACCGTTAAACATCATGTTATTTTCTGCTGCCCAATCGAAAACTTTGTTAATATCTGTTTGTAGTTTATCAATGTCTTCAGCAGAGGTAATTTTCATGCTGATTTTTGTATCATCTGCAAAGGATGACACGAAGCTGTGACTTGTGTTTTTGTCTATGTCTGATATGAGAATAAGGAACAGCAGTGGTGCAAGAACTGTACCTTGAGGTACAGAGCTTTTAACTGCGCTCAGACTCGATTTTACTTGATTGACTGTTACTCTTTGTGTTCTGTTCGACAGGAAATTGAGTATCCAGCGTCCTACTAGCGTCCTAGCCAGGAAGGATTGTCTAGGCGCCAATCCCTAGATGGTAGCCTTGTTAACATAGCAGTAATTAGGGACCTGTTTGTTAACCAATTGGAGAGACGTGTTCCAGGAAAAATCACTTGGGTAAGGCTATAAGAAGGCACACGCACTCAGCCAGCTCAGAAGTCATGTGTTCCTGTACCACTTGTGTAAACGCTCACGCTGTCTCTTAATGTTGTCCCTTTTATTGGGCATGTATTATCATTTTCCCTGAGCTTACGTGTCGGGTCACTGGTGGTAGGAAGGCAGGTTACCTCGGGTCATCCACCCAGGAAGGGAACAAGTTAGCGAGGCGAGGAACCTCGTCTTAGAGGTACAGTGTGACGCAGCGGCGCCGTGAGGCTCCACCCGCGCCCCTGGCGGCCGGGCACCACGGCACTGACCAGGATGTTTGTCTGACCCTCCTCGCTCTCACACCTCGCCCCATGGAGCCCAAACCTGCCCCCGCCCCCGCCCTGCCTCGCCCCGCCCTACTTCTCACCCACCCACACCTGGGTGCCACCCTATGACGCACCTGGGCTTACCTCGCCTGTGTTCTCAGGGTCTGTGTGTACACTCACCGCCCTATTGGTGACTGTACTCGCCTATTTGCGTCTGCAGGATCGAGCATTAGCTCTTGGACCCCCGACTTTCTAGCAACTGGTTGTCTTACTGACCTATTTCCCTATCATATCTACTTTTAAAATTACGAATTGAGTTTGCTTCCACAACCAGCTCCTTTAGTTCATACCATTTTCCCACCACTCTTACGCTTTCTAAAGAGAAAACTTTCTAACATCTATATGACTCACCTGATTCTCACCCTTCCATCCATGTCCCATTGTTCTACTGGTATTCATTTTAAACATTTCCACTTTGTCAATCCCCCCTAAATATTTTATACTCCTTTATCATATCTCCTCTCTTTCTCTCCTCTTTTCTAGCTTCGTCAGGTTAAGTTCCTTCAGACTCTCTTCATATCCCATCCCCTCGCAGTTCTGGGTAGGTGGCGTACAGCGATCTAAATACCATATTTAGGTTCCTGAATGATGTTCTAACTTTCGCTAGTGTAGAGTATGCTGCTTATATGAGCCTCTGGAGGTTAGGCGTTTCATGCCCACCCCCCACTACCTGGTCTGAGTGTGTACTCACCTAGTGAGTGAGTGTGTGTGTGTGTGTGTGTGTGTGTGTGTACTCGCCTATTTGTGCTTGCGGGGGTTGAGTTTGCTATTTGTGCTTGAGGGGGTTCTGTGTGTGTGTGTGTGTGTGTGTGTGTGTGTATTTACCTACTTGTGCTGGCGCGGGTTGAGCTCTGCTCTTTCGGCCCGCTTTTCAACTGTCAATCAAATGTTACTATAACTACTGCTATTTTTTTCACACACACACACACACACACACACACACACACACACACACACACACACACACACACACACACACACACACACACACACACACACGAAGCAGCCCGTACCAGCTGTCTAACTCCCAGGTATCTATTTACTGCTAGGTGAACAGGTGCATCAGGTGAGAGAAACTGCCCGTTTGTTTCTGCCTCGGCCGAGAATCGAACCTGGCCCCCAAGCGTTGCCTACACAGATCTATCTGTACCAACTTTATGTACCTGCAGCATCGAGATTCAACTCCTGGGTTCTGCCTTCCACCTATCGGTCTTCGAAGACAATGACTTCCGACCTACACCTCTCTCCTGGTATCTAAACTTGTGGAACATATTTCTACTGCCCGAAACGCTTTGCGTAATAGTGGCTTTAGGCATTGTATGTACTAGCTCTATCTATAAATCGTTCAAATTTTGGAAAATCTCTTTTATGTATGTACCTTACATGAATAAACATTTTATTTTTTTTATTTTTTATTTTATTTTACTACGTTCTTTCACTCAGTGTTTATTACATTTCAATGGATCATTTTCTTATTTTTTACCCTTTCATTAACTTATGTACCTTTTCAAGTTTCCTCGTGTATTTGGGAGGACGTCACATTGGAGCTGCATACATTATTTCCGGTCTCACGTAGGTTTACAGTGTTGTCAATGCCTCCATATAAAGGTTCGTGAAAGATGTATGATTTGCCTACTGATAT